AGAAATGTTGCTCCCAATGATATGTATGAAATTTCTGTAATTTATGGTACTTCTTAGAGGTATCACTATGCTGGCATTTTTTCCTAGATACAATTGTTGCTAGGTGAGCACCACTTAATTAATGAGTGTAATATCTTCTGGGTTTATAACACAATCAAGTGCCATATGCTAATACATAGGGTTGCAATAGCAGGAAAACTAGACTGAGTTTAATCACATGTGCTTTATCATTCATACTGACATCCCAGACTGTTGCCTTTTTAAAAGTCTATGCTATGAAGATGCACAGAAGTGCAGTTTTAAAATAAAGATGTATAACCTGGTTGCTGCATAAGTACAAAATGAAAAAGACCCATGGAGTTATCTTTCTACCTGCCCAAGGTCAAAAGAAACAATGTTTCCATACTGGTTTTGCATACTAGCATCGTTACTAACATCACTAACAAAACATTTAAAGCCCCAAGATGTAACTAGTTTGGTGCACTCAAAATTGTTTTTGCAATTGTTATTGCCATTGCAAGAAATTGTATTAATATAAAAAGTTGTAATGACATAACAACTTGGTAAGCATTGTTTTAAGGGAATAAAAGCACCAGTAGAACGGAATGATGCCATGGGCTATATAAAAGATTTTAGGACAATGTATCCTGATGGTACAGACGCTAAACATTTCTCTTAAATAAGCATGAGTTCAAAACTATGCCTTTTGTTTTAAATGTAAGTTTCCTAATAACATAGAAGGCTGTGGAAAAGCAGCAGATGTTAGGGAAAATAAGTAAAAAATAGAGAAAGTTTTTGAAGTACTGATTATATCTCTAGAACCAATGAGGAAACATGACTACACCAAATGCAATATAAATGAATATTATGGTCACAGCTGACCTTTGTCATCAAGCCTATCTAGTAAATAGTGACTGGAAGGATTGAATCTGTCAATGCAGTCCATCAGAACCTCTTTTTTTTAATCCCAGAAGGCTTCACTCCTTGAAACAATATGGTGAACATAGTATATTCAGGTGAATATATATTCACATTACATTATTCAGGATGCAATGATCAGAGCTCTTTCTAGCCAAAAGCCTCTAAAATATGTTTTCCAGTCAAATACCTTTCATATAGGTTAGAAATATAAGTCTCTGAATTCTTAGAGTTGTACTTTCTGCACATATAAAGAGCACCAGGTTGTAGAAAACGGGGCTAAGATATGTCATGTCTATATTTAATTTTTCTTTTCTTTTCACCTACTTCCTCTTTTAATTATTTTCCCCTTTACTCCCTATTAATTTTCTGTCCTTTGCACCAGAACATTGCTTATCCCGAAAGGAGCTGTGTGATAGCTATATATGTGTATATCAAAAGTATGTGTTCTGTTTCATTATCTGCACTTTCAAGAACTGTTTCGGACTTTAACGGTATGAAAAGGCAAATTTTCAGGGATAGATGATTCAAATTTTACAAAATATAAATACTGATTGTAGGTCAGAAACAAGCCTCATTATAGTAGATGGGAATCAACAGAAATTGGAGCAATGATACAAACAAGTGGACTCTGTTGTATACATAAGCAGGGTCAGGAGGTATGATTCTTTGATAGTGGGTTTCTTGGTTTAAAAATTATATTCATGCATTAGAAAGACTTTAAATAATTATTGTCATCTTGCCAGAAAGAGTCATTGGCAGGAGAGCTCTAACTGGTGCAAAAAAGTGGCTTAAACCATTCATGTGGCCTCAGTTGCTAACCTCTGTTTAGCCATAGAAATAATACATTAATTGCATACTTTAATTCGGTGATTATCAATCTCAATTTCTTCTTCTATAGTATTACTCTAGTAATGTCTGACTACTTAATATTGTCAACGATGAACTATACCAATGCCAACGTAAACTTTCAACATCAATCTGATACAGGTTAAGAATGTAATTTTTGGTCTCTAAATGCAGGGGAGATGATATTTGCTAGAAAGATCAAAGATAATTTCAATGAGGAGAGGCAAAAATTAGAAATCTTCACAGATTCTTTCCACTTAGGAAAACCTTTCACTTTGGTTTATTAATGCCAATTTTCTCCCTATAGTGAGTCCTAAAATGACTGTTAAATTGGAGATCTGGGATATGGTGAAAACTATTTATTAGTAAGCACTATACATTTCCATAGGTGGAAACAAAATCATTTGGAAAGATCAAAATAGGGGAAAATAATTTATTCAAAGAATAGTATAGAATAAAAATGAAAATCTACATATAAGATTGTCCTTTTCAAAGTCATCTTGCAATTGAAGAAAAAAAAGCTTTTATATATCCATCCTTAAATATTGGTATTTTCACAGGGGATAATATCTCTGCATCAGCATTATGAAAAATGAGTTTTCACTTTCTTAGCCACAGTAATATTCTAACTTGGAGTGATTAAGAACTTCATTAGGGGCAAGCAGAAACATCCTTGGGTGAAGTCTGGCTAAGACATAATGCATATTTATGATGTCAATTAGAGAAGCTAGGCTACTCTCTGAAACCAAGCGAACTTGTAAAATTAGCTGCATCTGTACCGGAACTTTCTGTTTCCTGAGCTGTTAGCAATCACTACAGCATTACAACAGTTGTTTGCTAACCTGTGTGACAGTTATACTAATAGAATGAAAAATGGTAAGATTTACATAGGAATAACGAGGCTCTGCTCTTGGAGCACAGCAATTGGCATGCTCCTTCTGCTTTCTGCTTCTTCTTAGAGAAGAAAAGGTTCACAGGGCAGGAATATAAGAAAAGCCTTCAAGTAATATGGCTTTTCCAAGACTAATTACCTGCTCAGAATCTGGACAGATATGCTGCCACGGCACGATCATTTCCTTCTGCCTGAACTATTAAAATTTTCCCAGGCAGCCACCTTAAAGCTCAAGTCAATGTGTTTACCGGGCTCAGTACCTCTCCAAGAGGAAAATCAATTGGCAAATTCTGTGTCTCTTCATTTAATACAAATTTGGTCAAGCTCTGTTAAAGAAGATTTGATAAGACACATTCACTTAAATAATGTGAATTGTTTTCAAAGTCAGGCTTCAAAGCAAGTTGATCAGCTTCCTTCTAGGAGAATATGCAAAGATTAGATAGAAAAGTCTAGGTAAAGGCAGAAGAAAATCAAATGGTCTCATTATATTGGGGAAAGCAATTTATTTCTCTGTAATAGTTGAAATCCAAGAGAACTAACAGGATTCCAGGTTATTTCTTGGGGTTACACTATAGAAAGATGGGAGACATGAAAGCAACAACTTCCTGAGACCATGCTAGAGAAAAGAATAAACTGTTGGAGGTCAAAATCAACAGTCTGTATTTTTCTCAAGATCGCTCTATCAGTCTAGAACAGTTTGAATGTATCTTATCTCCTATTCTGATGTAAAATGAATAAATATAACATTAAAGTTTTTTGGTTTTATATTGATTTCTCTCTCATTATCATCTCTTATTTTCCTACTGTGATTTCCATGAAAATGTGCCTCCTGGAGCAGCTACTTGCTGTAGAAAAGAGGCCTCCAATAGGAACTTTCCTCTTTCCCTAAATTAATAGTGGTTTTGGCACGGGTGAATATATTGTGTGTTTATCATCAGGTCTCTGGGGGTTGAATTACTCCAGCCCAATGAACTGTGATCCTGATGAAAATTGGAGGAGTCCACTCTCAATAATATTAGCAGCTAATTTGGCTCTCAAGACGGATTCTATAATATTTTTCTCAGAAAAAGAAGTGCATTGCCAAAAAGAGGACAAAAGAAAGTAGATCATTCATATCTTAAACCAGCTATTGTTATGTGGTGGGTAAGGTATATATCTATCACTTAGGAGTTTCAGGTCCAGTTCACTCCCGTCTGTGGTTATCACAGGATGACTATGGTCCAGTAGTCACTCAGTCTCAGCCTAACCTACTTCATATGTTGTTGTTTGTTGTGAGGATATTATGAAGGGATTTCCCCATGGGAACTGACTTGAGAGCCTAGAGAAAAGGTGGGGTATAAATCTAACAAACAGTAAATAAATAAATAAAATAAAAATACAATAAATAAAAATACAATATATTTCACTAGAATGAGAGAAAATTCTTGTAAATAAAAATACAATATATTTCACTAGAATGAGGGAAAACTCTGGTCAGATCTTCCAAGTTTAATTTAAAGATCCATTAAATAAAAGTAAGATCTTACTTTCATTTCTTATTTTTATTTAATGGCTCTTTAAATTAGATTTGTAATGGAAATCTTGAAATAGAGAATGACATCTGTAAAGTAGGACACAGGACTACCCAACCAAAGAGGTTCTGGTCAAAATGAATCAGGATCATAGATTAATTTGAATAGAATCACACTGCCTATCCTGAATAAGGTAGTCAGTTTAGAACTGTTCCTTGAGCCATCTTCGTAATAGGACCTTCAGAAGAACAGGATCTTTCTCCATTCGGAGAAAAAGGACTTGGTTTGTGTGCCACATGCCTTAGTTTCCTCAAAATGAAACTGAAGTTCAGCCTTATTGTTACAGTTTTATTATTCTGCTTATACACAGAGTCAGAATGTAACAATAGAGTATAATATTTATATTTAAAAAATCTAAACTGCCCAAATTATGGTGGTAAGTATAATGAGCCTCTCATTTGTGTATTTGCTTTTTAATCCAAACAGTTATGAGAATGTAAAATACACTCCAAGATGTGGAACCCAAGATAAATTTGATACATGTATTATTTCCATGCAGAAATAAATCTTGATAAATCAACTTCCATCATAAATAATATTACAGATTATAAAATGTGCAAAACTTTCTAAATTATGCTAGTTTAGTGGAAGCCTTCTGGCTGCTTAAACAAATTAATAGAAGGACAACAAAATGTCAACCTCCAAAAAACCATTGGTTCATCTGCTTCTGACAAATCTTATTACTTTTGTGTAACATAGAACTACATCAACCCATTCACAACGGTGGTCTGCATTTGCTTTCTACATTACTAGTAACAACAGATACTCACAGTTGTAGCATACTGAATATCCTTCCAGATGGAGGTCTCCCGAGAGAGATCTGAGGCTTCAAAGAGGTTCTCTAGGATCACCTCCCCAATCATGTCATGCCGGGAAAACCTGTCGAAGTCAAAGACACTAAGATGGAGCTTTCTATTGGCCAGCTCTTCATAGGGTACAGGAAATTGAAAGCATTCATCAAAGGTGGGATTGAGAGTCTTCCTGTGCACTCGTGTTTGGAACTTGCGCTTTCTGTCAGGCAAGAGGTAGATCTTAACATAGGGGTCAGAACTGCCACAGAGATCCTTAGCAGGCAAGTCAAAAGCCTTGAGGATCCGCACAATCAGAGTCTCATTTTCATAGTCGTATTTCAAAGCAAAATTTATTTTCCCACAGGTTTTTTCAGCCTCTTTCTTGGGGTCCTCAGAGTCCACTGATTTCTGTTTGTACAACTCAGGCTTGATCCGGCCAATGCAAGTGGGCTGCTCTGCTGCAAGTGGTAGATCTGTGCCATAGTCCACACTGGAAACGTGCATCTGTCTGGGCAGGTGCCTCTTGAAAGAAATGTGCCTGCAAGAGTTAAAAGGAAGAGAACATATTGCATGCCTGGAAATAAATGGCATTCATTGTATGAACCACTGTGAGAATATCAAATTAGATCATGCACAGACCAGAAATAGAGAGCCAGTCCTCTCCCATCTTCAGATTTTGAGATTAATCACTATTTCCTGGTTAAAGAAAGATGAACGTCTGATGTTAGCAAATGTCTACAAATTTATCTTACATAGATTCGAACTATTAAAATAATTATCATCCAAATAACAGCTTACAAGAACCAGAATGTTTGAAAAAAATGTTTTAATCTCATCCATCCTCCCTATGTAGTTTTAAATTTCAGTTCAGCAGTTGAACAACCTCTGGAGAGCTGTATTTCATTCATTTACTTTTAAGGAGAAATCACTGTACTTTCACTGTACTTAAAAGATAACAATTTTTAATTAATTTTCAGAAAAGAGAATTTTAAATCTCTTACAACTTATTTTTTTTTTCTCCAAGAAAAACTACTATGATTTGAATCTCCTGGGAAATGAGGCAGGTCATCACTTGTTCCTTTTGCTCCCTAATTTGTCCCACTAAACATGCTCCAGAGAGCAGGGTGATTTATTAAACATGTCATAATTTGTTGTATCATGAAAGAGGAAGGAGGAAAGGGAAGGGATTGTTATAATATATATCTAAGGGCTCTTCCTCATGCACACTCCTTCAGTCCTTGAAGTGACAGAAAACTACAGTGACATAAATTGTGTCACCCCAACATCCAACACCTATTCTGTTTCAGTGCAACAGATGCTGTCCTTGCAGTTTAAAAGCAGACAAATTAAGGGCAGTGATTAGTGGATTCTCCTAGTTGTGTTTTCTCTTCCACTAATGTCACCTGCCAGAAAGAAAAGTAACTACCACTTTCCTTAAAATGTGATGGGGAAGACTTAAGTTCCTGTGGGTGGCGTCTAAGATGGAGGCTTAAGTTGCCCAAGTGACAGGTGAGTAGCAGGGATGATGGAGATATCTGGTGTTTTTTTGGAAATTCCCTTCCTGCTTCATCTCTTATCTTTCCTATCCTCCACTCACTTGTCAGTGCAACTATTTTCTAATACAGGTTTTATACATTTTCAGAAGAGCAATAGAGCCTTATTCAAAAGTAGCCTGAGTAAGAGGTCACTGGTGCAGTGAAGATACTAATGCCAGGGGCATTGGATTATTTCCTTTTCACTTCATTCAAGATAATAATACTGCAACAGCTGTAAAATAATCAAAATGGCACTGCCCCCAAAGTAATGAAAACTGTAGAAACTTCAGTTTCATGAATTCCCTTGTGGGCAGAAGCAGTAGAAAAACAGTTCTGCCCTAATTTGAAACAAAACCGACAAAACTCAGCTGGCAGAATGTGGCTTTCTTTCCTAATTAAATCCCACTCTTTCAAGTTAGTTAACAAGCAGGTCTAGCAGTAAATCTTGTGCTGTTTTCAAAGTACCAATCACGTATTAGCCAGGTGTCTGGTCACTTTCTGCAGTCTGAGCTAAAATGGCCATTAGGCAGTGCCCAACAATTGGTAGAAAGGGATGGAGATGGGGCAAAACAGTTTCAAGTAGCCAACAGGACCTGCACAAGTTCAAATCTCTGACTTTGTAATCATCAATATTGTCAATGAAGTTTCATAAATCCATACAGCAAGATTTGTGTCAGGAGAAGAGCAATTACAACAGCTAAAGACATTGTAAGGTGTCTCAACAATGGGCAGGGCACGAAAGAAAGGAAATAACACAGAGATAGGTCCCTTAAAAATGGTCTGCCTGCATTTTTGTGTCATGATTAGTAGAATGTAAGAATGAACTCTAAGGAAAGTATTCACTCTCCTTCCTTCCCAACTACTGAATCAGAACTTATGAGAATTATAATAAAAGGGAAAGGAAAGAAGATAGCCACCATATATTTACCATATTCTATTTATTTATTTCCAGTACTTGTTGACCATCCCATTCATGCAACTTTGCTGGTGTACAAGATCAGAATTGCTATTAAAACAAGCAATACCAAGCAGTTCATAAGATCAGTTAAGGTCAAAAGCATAAGAGAGTAAAAGTTTAAATAGTTTGTGGAATTCAAGAAGGAGGATACTTTGTGTACCTCTTGGAAACCAGGTTGCTGAGCACATGGGTCACTACAAGAAAGGCCTGCTGCCTGATGCAGGACTTGTCCACTTCCCATGGAGAAAAATCTCTTAGCAAGCCTCTTGAAAAATTGAGACTGGTTGGGCAGCATAACTTTGGCAAGGCAGTGTAACATCATATATGTTTTTAAGTAATTGCATGTTTTTTTTTAATTGAGCTTAGCAACATCGGAGTAACCACTGCAGCAACCTGAAAAGTACTGTTTATCTGCAGAGGCAGAGTTGACCTGTCAGTGGTCTGGACATATGTTCTGGATCAGTTGCAGCATCTGAGATTCTCCAAAAGCCTACAGTCAAATCATATAGGGTGCAGAGCAGTAGGCTAATCTTGAGATAGTCAAAGTATGAACAAAAGCCTTCTGGCTGCTACTTGTTTAAACAGAAGCATTGGGCCCAGGAAGACCTCTAACTTGCAAACCCTCTTTGTCTACAGTCAGTATTCTAGCATACAGCTTAGTGCATTGAGGTGGGAAGATGCACTAATCATATTTCTTTCTATATCTTATATAATTGGTTCCCAGGGGAATTTTTCTAATTGAATTTCTTAATGTGTTTCCCTTTCTGTTTTCAGTTAATGAACTTAATGGACATGAATAAGAAAATCTTAAACTAAGAATGGCAGGCAAATATCTACCAAAGGGACAATATTTACTACCTTGTTCAGCCTCTCCTACCAAGACTTTATAGATTTGCATCCCTGACAATATGCTTGGTTAATATTCCAGAGAAAGAGCATCACTGTATTTCCTATGAGTCCTTTTATGTCTGTGCTTAATTTGTCCATTACACCATATCTTTCTTCTTGTTTTTTTTTTTTTTTGATATGGGAGTCACATTTATATTATTACAATCACTTGGACTTTTTCTTTGGTCACTACATATTTTAATATGAGGTTATGAATTATTTGCTGATACTATAATCTCATTCTGAATCCAAAGAGTCTGGAAAAAATATTATTTTTACTGTTTGGGTTATGCCACCAGTGTACAAGTACTTTCAAAATATAAAAACTGCTTCCTGCCTCAAGAAATTTCAATTCAACACATGGAAGCCACAAAGGAATTGGAAACAAAGGAAGTAGAACTAAATAATCCCATTGCAGTCCTTTCATTTCTCAACAATCAATCTCAATTTAATAACCATCACACCACCCTATGCACTGAGCTGGAGGATATTATATGTACTTCCTATTTGAATGCATTCTTAATAGCGGGACCAACTTGCACTGTGAGGTTAAAGTAGACACTCAATTAAAATGCTCATTGTCTAAGCTGAGACATAAAATTAGTATCAAAGAATGAGCTTATAGAAACAAAGATGTTGCCTTGAGATTAAGGTAACATCCATAATTGAGCTATATGCCATCTCCAAAAATCTCCAATGTATTCCAATGACAGCCTTCTGCTTATCTCTAGTATATTATCTCCCATAAAAGGAAATAAAAACAATTATATTTTTGTTGCAAGTAGAATTTTAAAAAATCAGACCAATTTCTCCTCACTGTGTGGAATAAGCAAACCTTGGAAAAAATTCAGAGAAGAGCAACTAAGATGATCAAAGGCCTGGAGACTAAAACATACGCAGAACGGCTACGGGACTTGGGTTTGGCTTGTCTAAAGAAAAGAAGAAATAAGGGAGACATGAAAGCAGTGTTCCAGTATCTGAGGGGCTGCCACAGGACAGAGTGGGCCAGGTTGTTCACCAAAGCACCAGAGGGAAGGACAAGAAACAATACTGGAAACTGATCAAAGAAAGAAGCAACCTGGAACTAAGGAGAAACTTCCTGACAGTGAGGACAATCAACCAGTGGAACAACTTACCCCCAGAAATCATGGGCACTCCATCACTGGAGAGTTTTAAGAGGAGACTGGTCATTCACCTGTCTTGAGATGGTGTAGGTTCTCCTGCTTGAGCAGGAGGCTGGACTAGAAGATTGCCAAGGTCCCTTTCAGCTCTATTCTATTCTATTCATGATTAGGCCTATCCACTGAAGAAATATAGATCTATAAATGTATTCATGTGGTTGATGCATGTATATGTGGGAGGAAAAAACTGTGTGTATATATTTATGTACATTCTGGCTAATACAAGATATGAATGCAAAAGCCCAGAAAGAGCATCATTAGGCTGTAAAAGACTGCATACTCAGGGAAAGCTGAGAAAGGGAGACCAATATGTAGAAGAGCCATTCCCAAAAGCAGCTATAGGATCTACAGGTTCAAAAGTATCTCTGTGTGATATTTCCTGCCTGAGTAGAATAAGGAGAGGACATCAACCAAAGAAATGGAAAATAAAATAGACAGACAATAGATGTTCCTTTATAGATATTGCTGGCTGAAAGTGCCACTGTTCTTCACTATTAACCATCATACTTAGAAGTGATGGAAATTCAGTGCCTCACTTCTATGGGAGAAACTGATAGACACCTGAATTAATTTACTATATATCCAACAACCACATTAGTGCAATCATTCAACATCTCAGCTGAGAAGATTATATGGGTGAGATATGAGTATCAGTGGCCTCTGGGCAAAAAAGTTTCAGATTGTCCTCAGCATTCAGTTTTCTATACCCTTCCTTTCTTTGTAATGAATCTTCACGCATGGATTATTCCTCCATTTAAGACTAGAGTGACCCTAAGGCAGTAGCTCATCTTAAACACTAGAATGTAGCTTCCTCTAAGCCAATGCAGTGAGTGATATGTCAAGTCCGTTTATCTAATTATTGTTGCTTGAGCCACACAAGCAAGAAAAAGTGCAAAAGGCTGTAATTCCATCTGACAGTATGCCATGTCACTGATACATCTCCTTGACTCCCTAAGTTCTAACAAAATTAAAGTAGCCACAAACATATTGACAATTTGACACAATGAGGTCAAGTCACAATAATAAGGTTTGAATCTTTTAGTTCAGATTAACAGCCCTCAGGGAGTTTAGTGTAATACCTGAACTGGTTTATTATCAAGTCAACCTTTGGCAAAGACCAACATTAAATAAAGACTTTCCTTCAGTTCAGATCTAGGTGGTTCACGTCAGCCAAAAGTTCAGTTTAATCACCTTTTTGCTTAGTGATTTTTAAGTGTCAAGAATATATTTAAAAGAAAAAAGTTGCTACTTCAGATAATGGATATGGCAGAATTAATTTGAATCTGGAGACCACAACTTAAAGAAATGCAATAGATAACAGTCCAAGAATTGCTCTTACCTGGTGGAAGATGCAGGTTCTGTTGTTTGTCTCTGCATTCGTGTGCGTCGCATTAGATGATCTTTCATGGACATCTGAACTTCTGCTGGGATATCTGGTGAAGTGCGACTGATTTTTACTGCTGCTTCCAAGAATCCAAGAGTCCCAGTATCCTTTAGTTTGTCAGCCATATTGTCTTTGTCGTTCTCTGCCAAAGTCTGAGCGGTGGGGGTATTAGTTGAAATAGATTTGTTCCTCCAAGGAACCCAAAACAGCTTCCAAAAAAGGAATAGAAAAACTGCCACCAGAGCCAGTCCACATACAATTACTATCACTGCAAGAAGACTGATGGAGAGTTCTGAAGGACAAGAAATGGGGGGGCCAACAGGGCAGGGGAAAAGGGAAAGGGGGGAATGGTAGGAAAGAAAGAACAAACAAAACAATTTGATGAGAAAGATGAAAGAACAAGAACAAATTCCCAAATGGTGTGTCCCATTATACCTGCACATGTATTACATTTACGAAGGTAATAGATTTCTTTCTTTCCATGTTTCAAGTCCTTTCAATGCAACTTTCAAGGATGTTTTGCAAAGGAAAATCACAGTTAAGGCACCATGTATCTCCTGCTTTAAATAAGAGTACATTCTATACTATCCTTCATCAATCTTAAATAAAAGAAATAAATTTTATGCTATCCTTTGCTCTCCAGATGTGTTGGATTTCAACTGCTATAGCAGATTAAAATTAGTCTGTGATAATTTGTAAAAGTAGAACATACATTTTAACACAGCCACTAAATAGTACTTCAGTTATGAGGAGGCTTTCAATCCAGAGATTATTCATAATTTCTCTTCTCTATTAATCCTTTGTAAAATTTGCATCTTTAGAATGCCCCTGGGCTTTTGTGCTTCTTTCGTGAACTGAGCTAGCAGTTATCTATTTGTCAACAACTTAACATTCATCAGAAAGAAAATCCACTTTTCTATGTTCCACCTTAATCATAAGCAATATTAATTTTAAATTTATCATAAAGGTTGCTATATATCAGACATGTCAAACACAAAGCCCGGGAGCCAGATGCGGCCCGCGAGGTGGTTTCATGTGGCCCGCAAGCCATCCTGGAAACAGTGAGGGAATGGCCACTTCTGCCTTGACCCTGGCCCAGGCCTCCTGGGAGCCAATGTACAATTTTGTGGTGGCCATCTATGCTGAAGCGCATTCAATTTTAGCTCCACAAAGCCATCTGGAAACAGCAAGGGACCGGCCCCTGCCGCATTAGCCCCACCCGGTGGGTGCATGCTGGGGAGGTGTCACCCTTCGTGAAGAATGAAGAAATGCACCATTGCCTGGAAGTGGCCAGCAAATGGCCTTCACCTACTTCACATATCCGACAATGGGCTCCAGCAGAAGGGTTTCTGCAGGCAATGGGGCGCTGTCCTCACAGTGCCAAGAGCTGAGCTGGGTGGCGCGAATCTGATGAGAAGTGCAATGCTGCCTAGTCCCCAGCCTGCCCAATTTCAGCAGGCAGCAAGTTGCAAAGCTGGCGAGCTTCGCATTGCCCAGCTCAGCCTCTCGGCATTGTGAGGAGAACGCCTCGCTGCCTGCCGAAACCAGGCAGGCTGGGGGCTGGACGGCATTGCACAGGTAAGGTCAACCCTCATGTTGCTCATGGCATCCCCTCCCCCAAAGCCCACTAAACCCGATATGTGAAGTAGGCGAGGGCCATGTGCTGGCCACTTCCAGGGGATGGTACATTTCTTCATTCCTCATGAAGGGTGATCTCCCCAGCTGCGTTTCTTGCCTGTTTTTCTCCCTCCCTCATCTCAAATATTTTTCCACCACTCTGTTGTTAGGAAGGAAGGAAGGAAGGAAGGAAGGAAGGAAGGAAGGAAGGAAGGAAGGAAGGAAGGAAGGAAGGAAGTCCTGCCTTAGTCCTGCCCTGCTGCCCTTTCACCATCCCCTTGCCCCCTCCTCCTGGCCTATCTTGGGGGTCTTGCATCCTATTGCTAAGGCAGCCTCCATCTGACTTTGCCCTCATGCCCATCATGAGCAACCTGGCTAAGGAGAGCAAGCACAGCAGCAGCAGCCTTGAGGAGGAGGTAAGTGCAGCTGGGCACCCCCTTGGGGTAGTGGGGCTGGGCTTGGTGCCTCTGGTGCTTGAGGGCCAGGCTGAGCATTTGACCTCTGTTGCCCAGGGCTCCGGGAAGGCCGTGGCACCATCCAGCCCCCCCTCACATGGCCTGAGAGGAACAGTGAGGCTCTTCCATTGGACCATGCCTTGACGCTTGCCCTGGTCCCACCCCCTTCTTCCAGAGACCTTCAGATTAGTCCTACTCCTGCCCAGGCCCCCACAGATACCCTTGACATGAACGATGAACTGCTGGCCATGCCCACTCAGTAGGACACACCCACTCCAGCCACACCTACCCAGTAGACCATGCCCACCCTGGCCACACCTACCCAGCTCCCCGAGGACAACTGCAATGCTGATGCGGCCCTCAGTGAAATTGAGTTTGACACCGCTGCTATATATGTAATTGAAGGATGCTGAGCTACATCTTAGATATTTTATCAGCACATGTTCTATGCACATGTGCTGTAAGGGAGATATATTTAGATGGGATTTAGTATTTGAGCATTCCTTTAAGATTCAGTCAGGGCTGCTGTCATTTATTATTTGTGTGAGTCTTATTGAGTAGATCCATAATAAGCAAATGCTTAATATACAGTATAATGCAAAATACATATATGTATATACTATGCTAGAAAAACAGCATTTTCAGTTCAGGTATACATCTTAATATGTTTATACTATTTGATATTCTCACACTGCATCTATTTCTTAAGCTGGAGTCTGGGTCCAAGATTACAGTCAAAGGACAGTTAGTAAGGTAAAAATCTTTCCTACAAGAAGACTGAAACCACTGAAAAGAATGCCAAAGTTTAGTCTTATAAGATCAAAACATCAAATCTGGTGATAATGAAGGCTGTCAAATGATGCAGGAGATCCAGCAAGCCTAATGCTCCCCCTGCCTAGATTATCCAGAGAAGCAAAGGACGCTCAGTTCTAATGCTGCTCACTTCACTTCATGAGTGCAGATTTAAATCAAATCTGAATTAGGATCCAGATCTAGCCAGAGTGATTTCTGTCTCTTCCTGACAACTCCTCCTTAAAAGAAAAAAAATTGGATTCTTTAAGAAGCAGCTGACAGGTAGAGAGAGATAAAAGCAAGCACCTTATCCACTTTATATCTAATCATTTACAAATAAACATTTCAATTGTGCATACAAAGTTGGAAACTACAGCTTATTTTGATTATCTTCATACACACATACTTGTGCTAAGTGCAATGTGTGTGTCTGCAGAAAGACACACACACACACACACACATTCCTCACCCTCGTGGGTGGTCTGTATCTTCTTCAAACTCGGGTCTTCTTATAAGGTATGGAGTTTGAGGGTTGGGTATCTTAAATGTTCCTAGCACTTCCCTCTTCTGGACAGATATCATTGGAGCCATTCTTCCAGCTTAGGAGTCACTGTCACCTCTTTAGCCTTTACTTTCCACTTTCTCTTCAGTTCCTTCTTCAGGAAGTGCTTCTCCAGTTTTTCATACTCCTTCCTGATGTCACTGTCACTTGGCATTGTTACATATATCACTACTGCTGTCTTTTGGTCCTTGTCTACTACCACAGTATCTGGTTGATTGGCCAGTACCTGCTTGTCTGTCTGGATCTGGAAGTCCCATAGGAGTTTAGCTTTCTTATTCTCAATCTTTTGTGGGATATGGTATGCTACAAAAAGGGAGTAACATGGTCTTTCTGTTCAGCTATACTTCTTAATGTGTTTATGAAATTTAGTATACTAATGTGTGTGGGATGGGTGGGTTGTATTTTGGATTGTAAATGAAACCTTCTGATAACTGGGGTGAAGCAGCAGAGTTTGAACAAATGAATTGTGACACAATCCTTTCTTTAGATAATTATTGAGGGGGAAAAAAACTACTCTTAATGTTGGGTACAAGTCACCTTTCAAAATACTCCACCAGATATTGGCAGTTATTTTTTCCAAAGAAATTGCATAATAATTTCTCAAAAGTAGGGCTTCTTTAACAGTGGTGGAACTACTAAGTCCATGGGGAGGAGGGGGAATGGTGTCTTCCCTTGAGATATATTTGAAGTAGGGAAGCTACAGTCAACTGGAAAAATTATTATATAATGAAAGACAGGATATTCATATGTGCCCATTGGTCATGTCACAACTAAGAGCAAAATGCACTGTGATGAACCAAGGAGACTTATTTTGAGTGACCTCGTGGCTATCTAAAGTCTCTTAAAGACTCTCTAAACATAGTAACTGTCTCTCTAAGGAGCACCAGTGGGTGGAATTCAGGGGAAGAGGAAATTGGGAGCTTATTTGGCTGATATTTTCTGCAATAAAAAATATTCTTAGTAGTTTATCAAATTTCCATAAAACTAATACAAAATGTCAATAGTATAACTACAAAAATAACAAAATAAAAATCAACCCATCATAAAGTACACATAAAATCATACATAACCGATGTCACTGTTTTGTGAATGAATGTCTCTAAGTCAGTTTTTAGTAACTTATGGAAAGCCAATTGGGTGGGGCTGCCTGAATTATGTGAAGACTCTGTTCTGAAAAGCAGGCCCACTTACAACAGATCTGAACCTCTACCCTACTGCATAACACAGAACTGGGGAATTGCAAACAGGTTCTTCTGGGATATATGAGTCAGTAGGTCAAAAGCAGTTCTACAAGCACTCCAGTGCCAAATCATGTATGGCTTTAGAGCTAAAAAGCAACATTCTTATTTATGGTTGGAAGCTAACAGGAATCCAGTGTTAGTAGTGTCTGAGGAGAAGATTTACTATGCTGATGTTTGCAGGTACTTGTCAATAATGAAACTATTGGGTCCTGAATCAGTTGAAGCTCAGGATGGGCTTCAAAGGCAGCCCCAGGTAGAATTTGTTGCAGGGGTGATGAGAGCATGAAATAGGATTATCATGCTCTAGGTGAGCCTGGAACCTGCACACCAGCTGAATCTGGATAAAGTACCCCTGTTCAGTGGCTCCACTTGCTCAGCTATGACTGCCACAGTCCAGATATATACCACAAGCCACAGGCTCTTTCTACCTGCCAAAGCAACACCAAAAATATCAAGATACTTAAACTGATTCCCCAGTGTAAAAAGGCAGTGAAGAAAGGATAAAAGGACCATAAGGAAGCAGCCGTTTGGCCAGTCTATACCCCCACCACCCAAAATGTCATAAATAGTGGAATAATTGCAAAACAACGCCTCCAAATTTTAAATCATGTGAGGGTTTCAAGAT